TTTTTTTTGATTGTCTACTGTTGTACTGATAACTATCTCCTGAGGGTAAACTATATCTTGGCTGCAAGTATCAAGCTACAAAATCCTTTGTTTTCTACAACTGATCGCGGTTGGTCATTAATTATGAAGTTTAGCAACTTCTCGGTAAACATTCAAGCTCTGTGGCTTCAGTGGTGTGCTGTTCTCATTCAGTCCACAGCAGACAGTATTATTTCGGTTAGCCGCGCTCAGTCTGCCCCTCCTCAGAGACGGACAGACTGAGCGTGGCAGAGTAGACGCGGCTGGCCGGGGTCGAGTTGCCTGTTTTGTTTTGAGCAGGAGTAGTGCCACGCTGAAGCCACTGAGCTCGAATGTCCAACATAAAACTAACTTTACCGTGGTTTAATGTGGCCCTATGGCTCTGCAGACATTGCACGTTGCTGTCTTGTCTTGTGGTGTTCCTAGTGTAAAATACTTCCACACAGCGGACACGTTTCGATGAAAAGTTGGTTAGCCGTTAGCCACAGTGCTACTGCACGTTGTAGCTGGCTGCAAACTATGAAATGGATTTCCTGAATGTGAGGCAGGTCTTATTACTCTGAGTTCATGAGACACGCCGCCGTTCAGGAAATCCATTCCATAGTTTTAAGCCAACATGCAGAGCAGCTGGCAGGGAATCACATGTGGAAACGTTTCAACAGACACAGACATCCATCATGGATCAGAAATATCTGCAGGTTGGATCGCAAAAATCCAATACGTAAATTATGCTGGTATTTGATACAGATACCGGATTAGCTCCATCCCTAGTTTTATAGAGTCTCTTAACTTTCACCTTCTTCTGCTGGTTTGGATTGTTAACATGTAAAAACAGGAACAACCTCTCAGGGATTGTCAGGATGTGCAGCAAAACTGCTGGCATAGAAATACAGAACCTCACTGACCTACACAAGGCGAGGTCAGTGAACAAGGACAGGCTGATTCTGGCAGATCCTGATCATCACTCCATGGTGAGTTCAGGTTGCTTCCATCTGGACGCAGGTATTTTCTGCCCAGATGTAGAATGAACAGACTGAAAAACTAATTTATTCCTGCAGTGATCAGGTTTTTCAATGAATATTCATGACTTCCGTATTGTTATTTTAATGTCTCAATGCCTTGTCTAGTATGGATATTTTATATCTACTGAAGGTGAAACTAATTTCCCCTTGGGGATAATAAAGATTCTTGAACTTGAACTTAACTGACCTATCGGACCAGTGGAAATAAAGAAATATGAAGATCCCTGACTGGCGGGGTATGTAACAGAACCACCTTTCATTAGACTGGGTGATGGGTTAGCAGCATGACTTGCAGGAAGTAAAATAACTTAAAGGTCGTGCAAATGTGTGGACAGTCTAACTTTTCAGAAGAAAAAAACAAGGCTAATGGAAATTGTAGTGGCGGCTAAAATTCAGATGCTTTGTCTGCTTTTTAAATGGTTTGTTAACTCTTGTGTTGTATTAGTTTGTCCTGCACGAGTAAAGAATGAAACCAGCGTGTGTTGTGGGATCCAGGAATTGCTGCAAGTTGGTCTGAGGGTTGTAGGGGTGGACGGCTGGTGGAACCTGAAGTATATTTTTATCTGACTATATATTATCTTACTGAAAAGTGTGATTATTTGTATTAAAG